TGATGTTGAGCTTGAGCTGTCTTCTCTTGATTTGCCAAGTACCCAATACCACTTCTATCCATCTTTACCATGGTGTTCATGAGTAGCTCACTTTGGAGATATTGGCCTCTTATGAACTTGCTCAACCCGGTCTTGAGATGTTCTTTCTTCAACTTGAGCTTCTTGTTTTCTTCTCTAAGTTCATCATGATTTTTCTCCATCTTGAGTCTCTTGTTCTCTTCTTTAAGCATCACATTCTCAAGAGCTATATCATAATCATTGTCAAGATTCTCTATCACAATTATGTTGGTGGTTAATAGCTTTTCAAGATCTTTCTTGAGCTTTTCATTCTTATTCTTGAGCTTGACATAATTATCATAGTTGTCGGACTCAACCACTTTCTTGCCTTTGCTACTAGAACCTTGCTCAATGCTCTCAACAATCAAGTCATCACATGATGTAGCTATATCAATCTTAACAACATTATTAGTAGCATCATGTGGCTCATTGGATAATAACTCATGAGAGAGAACAAGATTGTCATGATTAATCTTGAGATTGATGTACTCTTCCTTCAGCAAATTATAACTAGTGGTGAGCTTATTATGTATCCCCTCAAGCTTATCATGTTTTTCTCTAAGCTCCTTTTTAGAGGATTTGAGCTCCTTGAGTTTGGATGACACAATTTTATTTTCTTCTCTAAGCTCAACACTAGCTTTTTCGGTATGTCATACTTTGCTAAGAATGAGTCCTCAAATTCTAGCTTTTCATTTTTAGCTCTTGTCTTTCTAATGATTTTAGTGTATTGCTTTAGCAATTTGACAAGATCATCGTAAGAAGGTGATTCAAATTCTTCATCACTATCTCTACCACTTTCATCATTGCTAGCATTATCATCACCACTACTATCATCATTATTTTGTACCTTTCGTTCATCCTTGGCCATAAGGCATAGGTGTGTAAAGGATGATGGCGGCGATGTCGATGAAGATAGTGAAGAATCAATCAGAAGAGCGGCCACCTTCTCCTTCTCATTCTCACTTTCATCATCGGATGAGCCACTTGATGATTCAATGTCCGTTAGCCAATCACCAACAATGTATGCCTTGCCATTCTTCTTCTTCTTGTGAAATTCCTTCTTCTTGTCGTTTTTCTTCTTGTATGGCTTGTTCTTCTTCTTCTTCTTCTCACCATCATCTTCATCACTTGAGTCATCTTTCTTGCCCTTGTACTTATTTTTGTACTTGTCTTTCTTGGGTTTGGGGCATTGATGAGCTAGATGACCAAGTTCTCCACAATTATAGCAATCCATTTTGGAGATAGGCTTCCTTCTATTACTAGTGAAGAATTTCTTCTTCTTGCCATCAAACTTAACACCATTCTTGTTTAGCTTCTTGAGCATCTTGGTGGTTCTTCTCACCATGAGAGCAAGACTTGCATCATCAATCTTATCATCACTTGAGCTATCATGATCAACTCTTGCTTTGCCCCTCTTCTCTTGGCTATCCTTGAATGCCAAATCTTTCTTCTTGGTGGAAGAAGAGCTATCTTGTGGAGTGATGTGCATGTACATCTCATGTGCATTGATCTTCCCCAATATTTGAGTTGGTGTAGCGGTGGAAAGATCACCTTGAGGAAGCACCATCACAATATACCCATATTTGTCAATGGGGAGGACACTCAAGATCTTTCTCACAACATCGAAGGGCTGCATTTGTGTGAGTCCAAGCCCATTGACTTCCTCTACAAGAACATTTAAGCGTGAATACATCTCATTGGCACTTTCTCTAGGAAGCATCTCAAATGAGTTAAGCTTTTTCATCACAAGGTGGTAGCGTTCCTCACGTTCACTCTTGGTTCCCTCATGGAGCGCACAAATGTCCAACCATAGTGCATGAGCGTCTTTGTGGTTCCGCACACGATTAAAAATATCCTTGCAAAGGCCTTTAAAGAGGGTGTTTCTAGCCTTTGCATTCCACTTCTCGTAGTTAACTTCATTGCCTTGAAGGTTGGCGGGATCCTTAGGTTTTGGGAAGCCTTGTGAGGTGGCTCTAAGAACTCCAATGTCTAAAGCCTCTAAGTAGGCCTCCATGTGAATTTTCCAATAAGAAAAATCATCTCCCTCAAAGATAGGAGGGGGTCCATCCCCGTGGGACATCTTGCTCTAGGTGGTTAAGCCTAATTTAGGGAGCACGAGGCTCGATACCAATTGAAAGGATCAAGATGCCCAAGAGGGGGGGGTGAATTGGGCGAATTCTAAAAATTTTCAATACTTAAGTCCTACACTTAGCCCATTTCACCCCTTCTGCCTAAAATGAGCTTCTATTATTTTCCCGCACAAAAGTTTTGCATCCAAGGTTCCAATCCTACTCTAGCATGGTAATTCTAGGAATGTAAAGACATGAAATGAATTGCTCAAATGTAAATGCTCAAAGTAAAGGGAGGGAAAGGAACACGGCGATGTTTTTCTGAGGTATCAGAGAGTCACCACTCCCCACTAGTCCTCGTTGGAGCACCCGCGCAAGGGTGTAGCTCCCCCTTGATCCGCGCAAGGATCAAGTCTTCTCTACGAGCTGATTCTTTGACACCCCGTCGTGGTGAATCGCCCACAACCGCTCACAACATGACTTGGGTCATCCACAAGCTTCGCTGGATGATCACCATGTACCCAATCACCACCGAGTCGTCTAGGTGATAGCGATCGCCAAGAGTAACAAGCACAAACTCTCACTTGACCAAGACAAGCCTAATGAGAAAGGTGGATGCACATTTGCTACTCCCTATGCACTGATGAGGTCCTTAATCTTGGATTATCAAATCTCAATCACCCCACTAGGCCCTTGCTCTCCCTCGCACTCCAAAGGTGTTTCTCAGCTGAATAAATGGGCAAGAGACCTCCCATGGACGAGTGAAGTAAGTATTTATACCCCCTCATTTAAAACATAATGTTTGGAGGCTGAGTCATCACTCTACGGGCTGACCGGATGCTCTGGTCAGTTATACCCACCACTGTGTCAGAGAGAGCTGTTAAGCTCTGACCGGACTCTGATCAGCGTCCGGTCAGCACCCACCGGACGTGTCCGGTCAAGAAAAACCTCTCTAGAACCTCTCTAGAGTCGACCGGACGCAGGCACCCCAGCGTCCGGTGCTCCTCCACTCAGCTTTCGGTCAGTACCAGACGACTACAATTGATCAAATGAACTAACCGGACTCACCCTCTAGCGTCCGATCACAACCAGACCAACGTTCAGTTAGTCATTTTACTCTCCATTCACTTCCAACTCAAAATCCTATGGGAATGAAGTTGACTCCAATTGATCTTAGGGCTATTCCTGAGCTATCTAGTGCTAGGTTTGACAAGTGTGCACCACACCTAACCCACTAGACTCACCTAGGTCAAGCTACTAGTCCATACCCCCTTAATAGTATGGCCAAAGGAAAAACAAAGTCCTAAACTACTCAGTGTCTCTTCAACTCTAAATGACACTTAGAGCTAGCCGTCCTTAACCTTGTCGTCCATCCTTTAAAAACTGAAACAAATTCCATCGACGGGGGCATGAAAACCATAATTGCCCAATCAATTGCTATTACCATGACCTAACTTAAATTGCCTCTGCAAAACACACGTTAGTCATAGTAATCTTGTGTCATCATTAATCACCGAAACCAAACTAGAGGCCTAGATGCTTTCAGTCTTCACCATTTCTCTTTGCGTCGACAAGTATGTCGTTATGTTCCTGAGCTTCAGGCTCAGTGGTGAAGTGGGACTTATGTGAACTTTCTACGTCCTTGCTTCTGGAAGGACTTTGTAGAGCTCAACTAGATGTTTCGGGGCACGACAATTGTGGGACCAATGTCCCGAGCCTCCACATCTACAACAGTGATCTCGGTGCTCAGATGTTTCACCTTTTACCTTCTTGGGTTCACTTTTACCCCTCGGCTTTCCCTTTCCTTTGCTTTTAAACATGGCATCTCGTTTTCCCTTCCATTTTTCCTTTCCACAGCCTCTTTTGCAGTTGCGAGAAATCTCAGCAACATTGGCGTGTGCTTCAGGCACAATCGTGAAACTAGTAGGCCGTGCAGAATGATGGTTCATGAGAACCTCATTATTTTGCTCTGCAATCAATAGTACTATTATCAACTCAGAGTACTTGGAGTACTCTGAGTTCATGCACTACCGGTGCAGTGCTATGTTGTCGGGATGGAGGTTAGAAAGAGTTTTCTTGACCATATCAGCGTCAGTGATCTTCTGGCCACATAAACACAGTCTTAACACAATCCTTTGTAAAGCGAGTTGTATGCCGCCACGCACGCATCTTGGAAGCGTAAGGTGATCTAGTCCCGTTGTGCTCCGAGAGAGCACAATTGATTTCTCTTGGTTGAAACGGTCCTTCGTGGACTGCCATAAAACTAGTGGATCATCCTCATTCATATACTCAGACTTCTGGTCTAGGTGTAAATGGTGTTGCGAAGAAGTGCAACGCCTTTGCTTTATCGAGTTTCATGTGCTCTTCCTTGCCGACTTCAGGCTAAGCAATAACGTGATCGAGGCACATGCTGTCGAGTTTGATCTCGACGTCGATGGCCCATGTAAGGTAGTTGCTGCCGTCCATGGCAAGCTCATCAAACTCCTTCTTCGCAATGTTCGACATGTCTGCACAATTAATGTACAGGATCAACGAATGTTGGTTATACGTAATCTTCAGGATTACGACTATGTGTAATCTTCAGGATCACACAATCATGTATAGTCTTCAGGACTATGTTTTCCCCAAAATATCTCAAGCATATAATTTTCAGGATCATACGCAACTCATATATTAAGAAATATAAACTTGCAATAAAATAAATCTGCAGGATTTAAATAAGTAAATGCAAGAAAGTAAATTGGAGTAAATAAATAAAAGTAATACGCAATAATATAAATGCGACTTCTGGTCGCCGTTTATTTATTCGGACTTCAGGGCGTATGAGACAGTGGACTTCAGGTCACTATTAGTTAATGACGGAAAGTAGATGCCATGGATTTGTTTGCTGCTATCACTGCCCATGGTTTAGTTCCGAATGTGGTGACCTATCGGTTAATGATGGAAAATCTCATACAAGAGGGTCTGCTTGATGAGTTTGACAATCTGTTTTTATCAATGGAAAAGAGTGGATGCACTCCAAACTCATACATGCTAAATGGTATAGTTAGGAGCCTATTGGGTGGAGGTGAGATAATGAGGGCTGGGGCTTACCTCTCCAAAATTGATGAGATGAACTTCTCACTTGAGGCTTCCACTACTTCCTTGCTAATATCACTTTTCTCGAGGGAGGAATATAAGAACCATGCAAAGTCCCTACCTGAAAAGTACCATTTTTTTTATGAGGTCAACTAATGAGGATTATGTCAAACAAAATAAATCCTCAGCTGAGTGGTAATGTCTACCTCATTCTCTAATTTGCTGGCCCGTTGTGTTGTAACATTTGTTTGATAAAATTCTCTAGGGAAGTATTGTGCTGTTAGTGCATGTCAGCATCATGTTATCTCCTATAAAGTTATCCTTATATCTACTGTTAACAGTGCATGCTGTTCCTGTTTGTAGTTCCATGGATCAGCTAGATCTAATACTCCCTCTTTTTCAAATTGTAAGTCATTTTGGCTTTTCTAGATTCATAAGTTTGATTATGTATCTAGACACAAGTGTATATCTAGATGCATAGCAAAGGCTATGCACCTAGAAAAGCCAAAACGACTTACAATTTGGAACAGAGGGAGTATATACTAATATTTTCTGATGCTTTTGTGGTCCATTTCCCATGGCTTGTTTTCTTTGTTAGCTACAATCTCCAGTTCCTATGCCTTCACTTTTTATTAGAGGAGCCCATGCTGAACTAAACTACCTCAAATTCTGCTTAACTTTTGTATTTACTTTTGTGTTTGACGATCCTCCTTTGGCTTGCGGTTTCCTGAAATCCATGTCATTGATTCCTTGCAGGTCTATGTCTATAAAGAGAGGTCAAGCATTGGAAGTCCCATCATGACCTTCATTTGTGGTGTCAACACTTCTAACCTTCCTGGTTATCTGAACTGGAGCAGTTTGTTTGATGAATTGCATCTCGAGGCTGGAGCGGGGGGTTCTAGCAAAGGCCTGAGTGTTTAACATTATTTTTTGTGCATGACCTTCAAATAATAGCATACAAAGCCATCTTCCAACTGTCAGATCATTGCTTAGTAGAACTCCCGGTTCTCTTCTTCATTTTCAAGCAGCTGCTGTCACTATTGTAATAACATCAACAAGAGAATGAAATCTAGAGGCCCAGTAGTACCATTAGTAGTAATATCATTACTAGTGTCACCTAAGATATGATATGTATATATGTAGTACTTAGTCGAAAGTACTCTGCTTTCTCTAAGAAGGCTTCCTGAAACTTTAGTTGAAAGTACCCTGTATGAAGTATGAACCATGACTCCAACTCTCCATGATTGAAAAACACAACATTGTATATTTTTGAAACAACCATATTTGATGCTAACCATGTCGAGTACAAGGGATTGTGAGTTTTACAGATGTTTAAGTTTCTTAATATTTTTTTTTCGAAACTCTTACAAGTTCATTTGATCCAACCTGCAGCTAAGACAGCATCAGATAAATGGTTGAGTTGAACACAGATTTCCTTCATGCAAAGATAGCATTAACTCTACAGTCTACACAGTTTTCCAAAACTATCTTACTAATTCTTACGTTTCAACTACTTAACTAGATTGCTCATTAGTGACAGAAGTCAGTAAGCCGTTGCCAGAAGATTATTCCCTCTACCGATTTATAGGTCATTTTGCCTCCCATCCATGGTTAGGACTCGGCTAGTTTCTGATTTGCACTATGGTCTGTCTTGCTTCCTGTCCATGTTGATCGGTCCTGAATTTTTCCCACTGTCTCTGCTTGACTTGGCCAGCTACAGACAAGCCCTGCAACCACGGGTTGTGATTATTGACGATACCCAATTCTGTTGGTAAGCAAGAGTACTTCCTTTCTCACCGCTCAGAATGATATTTTTCTACTTCTCACCCTTCATGCGGATTGAACATCGATTATTTTTTACAGTTTGTTGGGCAAATGAGCTGGTGATAGCCACAACAGTAGAAAAGATAAGGAAAAAAAAATCTTAAAACTGAATTATCTGCCCTTGCCACTGAGCAATACTTTTTGGATCAATAATGAATTGATGATTACTTGGGCTAAACAATGAGAGCAGAGTACTGATTATTTTTTCTATCTGTTGCTTGATAAGTTTTACCTTTTCTTGTGCCTTTTGTGTCCCTGACTCCCTGTCAACTTATGTGTCTCCTCTTATGAAAGTGATGGCCAGCAAGAACAGTAAAACTCTCAGGAACAACCGTGGGAGCATCAGCAAGAAAAGCGGCAGTGCAGGGGCACCATGGAGCAAACCGTAGCTGCTCAGCTTGGGCTTCATGTCTCCCTGCCTGAACCCTCCCTCTGCTCACCCTGCTTTCTTCATATTTCTCTGAAACAAGTGGTGGATCGATGCTAAGCACAGTCAAGGTTTCGGAATTTGAATTAAGCACACTATCTCAACAAGTCCGTGTAAGTAAATTTGCCTTCACTGATAAACAGGTGAGTGAAAACAGAATTATTAGGGCATAGTAGAAGTTAATTACTGAAATCACCCTAATCTTCAAAACATCAGAAGCAGTAACTGTCCAAACGCTGTCAGCTACTACTCTGTTCTGAAATACAGGAAACAGTGAGCTCCTTTGCAGAAAAGTTTATGCAACCTATACAACAGGAATATGATGGGACTGCATAATATAGCAATCTTAACTAGTCATGTTTGTGTGTTTTGTATGTCTTGATAGTACACTAGTACAGTCCCATATAGCCACAATTTGTTTCTTTTTCAAGTAATCATGGATTTCAAGTAAACAAGAGAAGGAATCATAGATGTGGATGGAAGAAACTTTTTTTTGGATCTTGCATTCAGTTCAGACTCTGCATTGCACTGCTGGAGTAGCGCTATGACTATGACAACTAACCACCATTATATTCATGTGACTTGCAATTTGCACTTACCATTTTCAAGACTGTTAGTTAGTATTACTTACAAATTATATTGCCAGGAGACCTTTTGTTTTTTTTCCAAGACACTTGCATAAGTATCCATACCCCTTAGCCGTATACATATATTTGTGGCGGTCTAGATTATTTGAGTTATACATCGCATTGCTGGTCCACCTGCACAGCACTTGCTGACTTGCATTGCTCTCATTAGAATTGCCTGTATCTCAATTTCTTCCTTCTGTTTTCAGATTTTCTGTGAGGGTCTAAAGCACCGAGTGTTTGAGGTCTCCTTGGCTGATCCAGATTGATGAGGATCAGATAGGTAACAGTTCTAGAGAGTACAGACATCTCGTGTTTATGGGAATGCTGAGAACAAAATTGTTCATGGTTTTTCTCTTTAAGTAATTGCTCCCAACTTTAGATACGGAGAATAGACTTGGGGGAGGCCGAAGCACGGCACCCTTTTAATCTTATGGTTCCTAACCAACTTCAAACCAACAAAGTTTCTAAATGGTTCTAATCATTATCGAATATGTATTTTTATTTTACATTCTTTCATATGTAATTTAAGGATGTATTATGCTAAATTTTAATATAATAATTCCCCCTGTCCTTTGGAAAGAAAAGCAAGAGGCATTTTTGTTTTGAACGGAACAAAGAAACAAGAGGCCTCCAATTCCTCCATACGAATCTCTCCGTACGTGTCAACGGCAGCAAAAAGAAACAGTTACAAGACAGTTTTCCGTCCTACGACTCCGACGCGCCTACGGCCCACTTGCGCCCGTAGGCCATCGCCCAACCCGCCGCCGCCCGTCGCCTCCCGACGTTCCCGCTCCTGCGCTCAATCGCTCACCCGGTCACAGCTCTGCACGGCGCAGCACTCGCGGCTCCGCCTAGCCCACGCGAATTGCTCTGCTTCACAGATCCGGAGGCGGACGCAGCGTCGTCCGTGCCTCTCCGCGCCGGGCCAGTATCCACTCGCGCGCACCCCCCGTCGGCATGTCCCGTCGCGTGAGCGCCCCCCGCGACCGGTGCTTGGAGCTGGAGCGCGTCATCGCAGACCGAGCAAGGTCGGGAAGCCTTGGCGTCGACGACGCGCTCAAGCTGTTCGATGAATTGCTGCCCCACGCCAGGCCTGCCTCGGTTCGTGCTTTCAACCACCTGCTTACCGTTGTCGCTCGCGCCCGATGCTCTTCAACCTCCGAGCTTGCCGTCTCCCTCTTCAAGCGGATGGCCCGCGCCAGCTCCAACAAGGTGGCTCCTGACCTGTGCACATACAGCATCCTCATTGGATGCTTCGGTCGCATGGGACACCTGGAGTATTGTTTCGCCGCCTTTGGCCTCATCCTTAAGACGGGCCAGAGGGTCAGTAACATAGTCATCAATCAACTGCTCAACGGCCTCTGTGACGTGAAGAGGGTGGACGAGGCCATGGACATATTGCTCCGACGAATGCCTGAGTTTGGCTGCATGGCGAATGTAGTTTCCTACAACACGGTACTCAAGGGTTTATGCAATGAAAAGAGAGCTGAGGAGGCACTTGAGCTGCTGCACATGATGGCTGATGATGGACATGGAAGCTGCACACCAAATGTTGTGACATACACCACGATGATTGATGGCCTGTGCAAAGCTCAAGCTGTTGACAAGGCCGAGGGTGTTCTTCAGCAGATGATTGATAAAGGTGTCGAGCCAAACGTCCAGACATATAACTGTCTGATCCTTGGGTACCTCTCTACAGGACAATGGAAAGAGGTGGTCCGAATGCTCGAAGAAATGTCCGCACGTGGTCTTCAGCCAGATGTTGTTACTTATAGTTTGCTGCTGGATTATCTCTGCAAAAATGGAAAATGCTCAGAGGCTTGGAAGATTTTTGATTCTATGATTAGGAAGGGCATAAAACCAAATGTAACTATCTACAGCATTCTTCTTCATGGGTATGCTGCTAAAGGAGCCCTTGCTGATTTGCCTGATCTCCTAGATTTGATGGTGGCAAATGGTATTTCACCTAATCATTACATCTTCAACATAGTGTTCTGTGCATTTGCTAAAAATGCAATGATAGATGAGGCAATTCATATACTTAGCAAAATGAGGCAGCATGGGTTGAGTCCTGATGTAGTCACTTATGGAACATTAATCGATGCACTTTGCAAGTTGGGAAGAGTGGATGATGCTGTGCTTAAATTCAATGAGATGATCAACGAAGGAGTGACTCCAAACATTGTTGTCTTTAGCTCCCTGGTTTATGGACTATGCACCGTTGACAGATGGGAGAAGGCCGAGGAATTATTTTTTCAAATGTTGGATCAAGGAATCCGTCCCGACGTTGTGTTCTTCAACACAATAATGTCTAATTTATGCAAAGAAGGACGGGTCATGGAAGCCCAGAGTGTCATTGACTGGATGGAACGTGTGGGCGTGAGGCCTGATGTTGTCTCATATAATGCATTAATAGATGGCCACTGCTTAGCTCGTAGAACTGATGAAGCGGCAAAGTTACTTGATGTTATGCCCTCAGTTGGCTTGAAACCGAACATTTTATCCTATAATATATTGCTTCATGGCTACTGTAAAGCTGGTCGGATAGATAATGCATATTGTCTTTTCCGAGAAATGTTGAGGAAGGGAGTTACGCCTGGAGCTGTGACTTACAATACTATATTGCAAGGTTTATTTCAGACAGGGAGATTTTCTGAAGCAAAGGAACTCTACCTCAATATGATTAAAAGTGAAAAACAGTGGGGCATTTACACATACAACATAATTCTAAATGGGCTTTGCAAAAATAATTGTGTTGATGAAGCATTCATAATGTTCCAGTGTCTGTGTTCTAAGGATCTTCGACCTAACATTATTACTTTCACCATTATGATTGATGCCTTGTTCAAAGGCGACAGAAAGAAAGATGCCATGGATTTGTTCGCTGCTATCCCTGCCCATGGTTTAGTTCCGAATGTGGTGACCTATCGGTTAATGATGGAAAATCTCATACAAGAGGGGCTGCTTGATGAGTTTGACAATCTGTTTTTATCAATGGAAAAGTGTGGGTGCACTCCAAACTCACGCATGCTAAATGCTATAGTTAGGAGGCTGTTGCATGGAGGCGAGATAGTGAGGGCTGGGGCTTACCTCTCCAAAATTGATGAAATGAACTTCTCACTTGAGGCTTCCACTACATCCTTGCTAATATCACTTTTCTCGAGGGAGGAATATAAGAACCTTGCAAAGTCCCTACCTGAAAAGTACCATTTTCTTGAGGAGGTCAACAAGTGAGCATTATGTCAAACGGAATAAATTCTCAGCTGAGTGGTATGTCTATCTCATGCTCTATTTGTTTGATGAAATTCTTTAGGGAAATGTTGTACTACTAGTGCGTGTCAGCATCCTGTTTATCACCTGATAAAGTTATATTGTCTTCAGTCCCAGTTATCTTTACAGTGGGAATCAATTTTCAAACTATTGGGAGCACATGAGTTTCTGCCTTTTGTTGCTTAGTTTGTAAGAAATTCTTCACAGCTGGGAGTACAATCATCTGGAGTTCTTAATCCTTAAGGTGATTTCTATACACTATGCTTTGTGTTTTTCCCCACAGTTTGCAGTATCCCCCGCCACCCCTGAATATTTGTTGTTAGCAGTGCCTTTTCCCCCCACTAATAACTACTGTTTGGAGCTTTATTTTCCAAAATATCCTGCTAGCACTGTGTGCTGATTGTAGTTCCAAGGAACAGGTAAATCCAATATATATCATCTTCCATGGATCAAGAGGTTAACAAGATAGTAGTGGATGTACCAAATTTGACTTGATTTCTTCTACATTGCTTGTTGCTTAGATGTTTTCATAGATATTCATCTTATATTCTCTGTTGATGTAGAACCAGTGCTCCGTCCTCCGTTCTGGTTAGCCTTGTTGATACTTGTTGACTTGGTGCATTTAGGCAGATGCATGTATTACTTTTTAGAACTTTTTCTTGTTCCTTAAGTCGAATATCATGTTTCATATGTGCCATATTTGGATGAAGTTGAATATTTGATTCAACTTTGGAGGCTGGGAAGTGGGAACTTGCAGCAATTGATACCTCTTTCCTACAAATCCATTTTCAAACTATACTTTCTTAATTTTTCTTTTTCACAGTTTGTTTGCATACTAGTGTTTTCTGATGCTTTTGTAGTTTTGTGGTCTATTTCCCATGACTTGTTTTCTTTGTTCACTGCAATGCCTTCACTTTTGTATTAGAGGGAGCCCATGCACTACTCAGATTTCGCTTAACTTTTGTATTAGTTTTGTGTTAGACCATCCTCCTTTGGCTTGCACTTTCCTGATATCCAACTGATCGATTCCTTGCAGCTCCATGTCTATAAAGAAAGTAGAGCACTGGAAATCCCATCATGTCTTTATTTGTGGTGTCAATACCTCTAACCACCAATCCATCATGGTTATCTGAACTGGAGCAGTTTGGTTTTATGATGGCATCTGGAGCAGGGGTTTTAGCAAAGACCTTAGTGTTTGACGTTATTTTTGTGCATGATCCTCAAATATAAGAATACCTAGCTATCCTCGAACTCTCAGAGAATTGCTTAATATAGAACTCTCTGTTAACTGCATTATATTCAAGCAGCTGATGTCACTATTGTAACAGCATCAACAAGAGAAAAGGTAATAAGAAAAAAAAGCTCAAAGCTGAATTCTCTGCCCTTCCCACTGAGAAATACTTTTTGGTCCATAATGAATTGTTGATTACTTGGGCTAAACTATGAGAACATAGTTCTGATTATTTGTTGCTATCTCTTGCTTGATGAGTTTTACCTTTTCACGTGCCTTTTGTGCCCCTGTTCACTTATGTGTATCCTCTCATGAAGGTGGCAGCAAGAACAGTAAAACGCTGAGGAACGACCGTGGGAGCATCAGCAAGAAAAGCAGACAAGCGGTAGTGCAGGGGTGACATGGAGCAAACTGCAGCTGCTTAGCTTGGGCTTCATCTCTCGTTGCCAACAAGAGAGGTTTTTTAACCAGCTCTTTCTACTCACCCTGCTTTCTTCATATTTCTCTGAAACTAGTGTTGGATCGATGCTAGTGGAGCACTCAAAACATTTTAGATTTTGAATCGTGCACACTATCTCAACAATTTGCACACCATTATATTCATGTGACTTGCAATTTGCACACCTTTTCTCGTGCCTGTCCCTGTCCACTTATCTGTGTCCTCTCATGAAGGTATTACCAGCAAGAACAGTAGAACTCTCAGGAATGACCGCGGGAGCATCAGCAAGAAAAGCAGTAGTGCAGGGACGCCATGGAGCAAACTGTGGCTCCTGAGCTTGGGCTTCATCTGTCCCTGCCTGGACTCTCCCTCTGCTCACCCTGCTTCATATTTCTCTGAAACAAGTGGTGGATCAATGCTAGTGGCACACTCAAGGTTTCAGATTTTGAATTGAGCACACTATCTCGACAAGGCCATGTAAGTAATTTTTCCTTTTCCGATAAACAAGTGGGTGAAAACAATATTATTAGGACATAATAGGGTGAATGACTGAAAACAGCCTAATCTTCAAGACAGCAGAAGCAGTAACTGTCCAAAAGCTGTCAGCTCTACTCTGTTCTGAAACACAGGAAACAGTGAACTCCTTTGCCGTTAAAGTTTTATGTGGTTCATACAACAGGAGTATGATTGGAATGCCTAAGATCGCAATCTTAACTAGTCATGTTTGTGTGTTTTGTATGTCTTGATAGTACAGTCCGAAATTGGCAGAATTTGTTTTTTTTTAATGTAATCATGGATTTCGGCCCTACTGAAAGTGCTACAAAAGAGAATGAATCATAGATGCTGATGGAGGAAACTTTTGCTTGGTCTTGCATTCAGTTCAGATTCTGCACTGCACTGCTGGAGTAGCAGTACTGAGACATAAAATGTGGCATGTGTGCATCACTTCCCTTTGTGTTTTGACTCTGACAACTAACCACCATTATATTCAACAATTTGCACTCACCATTTTCAAGGCAGTTAAGTATTACAAACTATATTGCTAGGAGACCTTTCTTTTCATTTTTTTCAAGACACTTGCATATGTATCCTTATCCCTATGTATATTTGTGGCGGCTGGTCCACCTGCACTGCACTTGCATCGCTCTCATTAGAATTGTCCACTTATGTGTATCCTCATGAAGGTGGCAGCAACAACAGTAATCCTCTGAGGAATGGCCGTGGGAGCATCAGCAAGAAAAGCGGACAAGCAGTAGTACAGGGGCGACACGGAGCAAACTGCAGCTGCTTAGCTTGGGCTTCATAACTCCTTGGCCGGAACCTCTCTCTGCTGACCCTGCTTTCTTCATATTTCTCTGAAACTAGTGGTGGATCGATGTTAGCGGAGCACTCAAGGTTTTGGATTTTGAATCAAACACACTATCTGAACGAGTCCGTGCAAGTAAATTTTCTTTTCTGATAAACAAGTGGGTGAAAACAATATTATTAGGGCATAGTAGAGGTTAATTACTGAAATCAGCCTAATGTTCAAGACATCAGAAGCGGTAACTGTCAAAACGCTGTCAGCTAAAAATCTGGTCTGAAACACAGCAAAAAGTGAATTCCTTTGCATTAAAAGTTTATGTGGTGCATACAACAGGATTATGGTGGGACTGCATAAGATAGCAATCTTAACTAGTCATGTTTTTGTTTTGTATGTCTTGATAGTACACTAGTACAGTCCCATATTGCCACAATTTGTTTCTTTTCAAGTAATCATGGATTTCAAGTAAACAAGAGAATGAATCATAGATGCTGATGGAAGAAACTTTTTTTTAGATCTTGAATTCAGTTCAGATTGTGCACTGCACTGCTGGAGTAGCAGTACCAAGACATAAAACGTGGCATGTGTGCATCCCTTCACTTTGTGTTCCATGGAACGCACACTGCTATGACTATGGCAACTAACCACCATTATATGCATGTGACTTGCAATTTGCACTCGCCATTATATTCATTTGTTTTTTTTCAAGACACTTGCATAAGTATCCTTACCCCTTAGCTGTATACATGTATTTGTGGCGGTGACTAGATTATCTGAGTTATACGCTGCATCTCTGGTCCACCTGCACTGCGCTCTCATTAGAATTGCTTTTATCTCAATCTCTTCCTTCTGTTTTCAGATTGCCTCTGAGGGTCTAAAGCACAGAGTGTTTGAGGTTTCCCTGGCTGATCCAGAGAGAGGAGGATCAGGCTCCAACTCTAGATATGGAGAATGCAATTGCAGGTGGCCAAAGTACAGTGCCCTTTTAATTGTATGGTTTCTAACCAATTTCAAACCAACAAAGTTTCTAAATGGTGTAATGTTGCTTTGCTGTATGTGCAGGGAACCCACCCTCCTGCCTCTCAGCTCGGTCAGCTGATGTACGAGACCAGTGAGAGCGATGAGGCAGCAAAAGATGGACATTGCCGTGCAGTTGTGCACTACAGTGGCGCAGCATCACCTCAAACAGGCCCAAGGAGTGCCACAAATATGTGGCTACCTTCACTCATCTGCGTTTGTTCTGTCATAGGTACGCTGCCGACCACACCATTCCAGCACCTCCCGCCACGTGAGTGCCGCTCGCAGCCAATGCTCCTGGAGTTGCTGGCCTACTGTGTGGGACTAATTTGTTGAGCAGCTTGGGCCTCAACCACGCGCTCCAGCTACTTGGCAAATTGTCCCCTCATACCAGGCCCCGTCTCGGTCACCCTATTCGCCTTCAACCACCAGCCTATAGTGTGAATGAGACGATTTCCAGTCAGCTGCTCAAAAGTGACTTGGCAGATCTGTTGCAGTGATTATGTCTGGCTCCTGCTCTTTCTAATTTACCGGCCATGATCCGCGGTCTACTTTTTGTTTGAACAAACTCTGGACAAATGTTGTCCTGTTAAAGTTAAAAAACGATCTTATGTTCAGTCCCAGTTCACTAACTAAATGTATACATGTGCAACACATACTGGTTGGATTTGCTCACTTGTAAAACACAACAACAACAACAACAACAACAACAAAGCCTTTAAGTCCCAAACAAGTTGGAATAAGCTAGAGTTGAAACCCAGCAGAAGCAATCAAGGTTCAGGCACATGAATAGATGTTTTCCAAGCACTCCTATCTAAGACTAAGTCTTTGAATATATTCCATCCTTTCAAGTCTCCTTTTATTGCCTCTACCCAAGTCAACTTCGGTCATCCTCTGCTTCTCTTCACGTTACTATCCTGGCTTAGGATTCCACTACGCCCCGGTGCCTCTGGAGGTCTCCGTTGGACATGTCC